TTAATTATTAAGTAATTTTGGAATAAAATAAATTTTTATTTTCTTTTCACGGATTAAAATGTTACACAATCAATTTTTTTAATTATAATTTTAATATTTTGCAAAAGTAGATAAGAATTTTAAAATTCCTACCTTATATAGTCATGATGAGAGAGACACATAGCAATAAGTGCAATTAATAAGGTAACTGCAATCTCAATAAAAATAGTTTTATTTTATGGTATATATATAGAGAATAAATTGGTTTGAAAAATTGGCGCAATAAATGAAAATTGACAGGAGTGGAGTGAGTGAAAGAAAGCTCGAAGCCGTTTTTGGAATTTGGGGTAGGCGTAGGACGGGCAGGCGCACCGTTCGGGCAGCTCTCAAAAACACTGCACACAGCACACGCCCGAAAAGAGAAACACAACACAACACCAGATAACATCTCTATCTCTCTCTCTCTCTCTCTCTCACCCCACACAACACAGCTGAGGAGAGAGAAACTGCAGAGGACAGGCAAGCGAGGCAGAGGGTTCTTGGGGGAAGGGAGTGAAAAGTTGCAGTGAAATAGTAAATGGGGAGGAGGAATTTGTAGCTCAAAGTCTCAACAGAGAGAGCTCAAAAGGGGGGCCAGAAGAAAATGGAAAAAAGAAACGAAAATATTTAATCTTTTGTAGTGATGATGAGATCGGGTGGTGTTTTGGAGCATAGGGTTTGTGGGGTTTTGGGTAAATGAGTGTGCTTTTTCTTGGATCTAAGAGGGGTATTTGTTTATTATTCTTGTGTGGCTGTGTATATATACATAGATAAATCTGTATGTATAGGTGAGGATGATGGGGGTGCACAGAGACGCCTTGGTTTCATTGGTAGTGTGGCTGATCCTGGTGGTTCATCCATTTAGGCTTATTGTTGCTAACATGGAAGGTGCTTTTTTGTTTCCCCATCCTTTTCTTTTCTCTGTGTGTTTGCTGAATTGTTGAGAACTTGGCTTTAATTTTTCAATTGTTCTTGTCAATTCTATGCTTCTGAGGTTACTTCTGAAATGGGTACTCTAAATTTCAGGTGTTTGTTACCAAAAATTGAATCTTTTGTTTGAAAAATGAAATGAGAATGTGTGTAAGTGTGAGTTTGGAAGGTGATTGATCCGTATCGTTGGATTGTTCAAATCGGTATTAACAATAAGCTGGCCATAGTTAAGATTTGAGTAAACGCTCAAGAAGCAGCTTGGATTAATGCACTTCTTGTCCCTTTTATTTCCTGGTTTTTCAATGAATGTGCTTCAGTGCTATTGCAACTACTTATATATTATGAATGAAATTAATCGCAATTGCATTAACGCTTCATGGTTGTGTATGAGCAGGTGATGCTTTGCACAGCCTAAGGACCAACTTACAAGATCCTAACAATGTATTGCAGAGTTGGGACCCTACCCTTGTCAATCCTTGTACATGGTTTCATGTTACTTGCAACAACGATAACAGTGTTATAAGAGTGTAAGAATTGCTCCCCTGGACTGCAATTTTATGTATTCATGGTTCGGTTTTACTAATGAGTGAGTGCATTAACTTTGGAAATTGTGATTTTTCTGGAGTCCTTATTTGTATCTAATACTTTTACAGTGATCTGGGAAATGCTGCTTTATCAGGTCAATTAGTTCCTCAACTTGGCTTGCTGAAGAATTTGCAGTACTTGTATGTCCAATGCTCTTAAATCTTTCTGCAACTTTGATCTTATCTTCCTGGTTTAATGAGGTTTTATGCGCGTCTCACATTTTCCCAGTGAATGTTATTTGCATCATATATCTATACTTGGAACTAGTTACAAAATAAATAAAGAAAAATGTACACTTAAACACTAGAAATAAGAAACTCTTTGCCCTATGCAAAGTTCTTCTCTGTATTTGGATGCTGATCTGTTGGAACAAAGGAACGTTTTAGATTTGATGAGATATGAAACCAATAGTTTTTTTGGTGGGTTTTTTGACAGGGAACTTTACAGCAATAACATAAGTGGGCCAATTCCCAGTGATCTTGGAAATCTGACAAATCTGGTGAGCTTGGATCTCTACTTGAACAGTTTCACTGGCCCTATTCCGGATTCCTTAGGCAAGCTGTCGAAACTTCGCTTCCTGTATGTAGATTCATCCTTTGCTTCAAATCCTTGTCGAAATTTTTTTTTTAGTACTATATAAAGTGACGTGATGTCTTGTAAAAAAGTGATAGGTTGTTTATTTTCACCTTTGTCTTTGCTAAAATGCTACCCTAAAGTTTAATACAGTTTTTCCTTGTGATGTTTGTGCATGGATAGCCGGCTCAACAACAACAGCCTAACAGGTTCCATTCCCATGCCACTAACTAATATCACGGCACTACAAGTCTTGTGAGTACACTAGTTGATTGCCCGTTTCTACATTTGAAATCACTCTCTATTCTGTTCTTTGCTTTTCATTTTCCTCAGAACTTAAGTTCTCAGACAATATGGTTTTACTTTCAGGGATCTGTCAAACAATCGTCTCTCTGGTCCAGTTCCAGATAATGGTTCTTTTTCCCTCTTCACGCCCATTAGGTATGTTTCTAATAAGTTTAGCTGACATTTCTTTGTATTGTGGCTTAATAACTGCAACTGATATAGCTGATCTATGAATGTACAGTTTTGCTAATAACTTGAATCTTTGTGGGCCGGTAACTGGACGCCCTTGCCCAGGATCTCCTCCATTTTCTCCACCTCCGCCATTTGTTCCACCACCTCCAATTTCTGCTCCAGGTAACTGTCCCAAATGTCGTTGGTAACATGTATTTGTTATTCTTGCTTGATTGACCAATCTGTATAATCATGTAGGGAGTCACCCATTTCAGCATAAATAGTTTTAAGCAGCTAAAATAATATCTGTTTGTTAAGAGTTCCACATTGATAAAATAAGAGAGAATATATGAGTTTATAAGGCCATGTGTTAGACTAGCTAATTGGTTGGGTTCAATCTTTTAAGTGACCCTAGCCCAATCTTAGTTTATAACATGGTATCAGAGCCAGTTCATGTAGAATCCATTTTAACTTCTATGTTACCTGAAACATCAGGTGGAAATACCATAACTGGAGCTATTGCGGGAGGGGTAGCTGCAGGTGCTGCTTTACTCTTTGCTGCCCCCGCCATTGCTTTTGCATGGTGGCGTCGCAGAAAGCCACAAGAGTTTTTCTTTGATGTTCCAGGTTAGTAGTTGACCCAACGGATTCCTGCTTCAATTTTCTTCTCTTTTATGGCTCCCACTCCCTTCCTGCCATTAAAGGTAGAAAAAAGAGATCTTTCTAGCCTTTCAAATTGTAAACCTGTCATATACTTTGTATATACTTTGCAGCCGAGGAAGATCCTGAAGTTCACTTGGGACAGCTTAAAAGGTTCTCTCTTAGAGAGCTACAGGTTGCGACTGATAGCTTTAGCAACAAAAACATTCTGGGCAGGGGTGGATTTGGTAAAGTGTACAAGGGACGGCTTGCAGATGGGTCTTTGGTGGCTGTAAAACGATTGAAAGAGGAGCGCACACCTGGCGGAGAGCTTCAATTTCAAACAGAAGTTGAGATGATTAGCATGGCGGTCCATAGAAATCTCCTTCGATTGCGTGGCTTTTGTATGACACCAACTGAGCGGCTTCTTGTTTATCCCTATATGGCCAATGGAAGCGTTGCATCATGCTTGAGAGGTGATACCTACCGACAATTACTTTTTTTTTTTTTTTTTTTTTTTTTAAATTAAAATATAAATTTCTTGCTTGTAGAACGGCCAACGGATGAAGCACCACTTGATTGGCCAACAAGGAAGCGCATTGCTTTGGGGTCCGCCAGGGGACTGTCATATTTGCACGATCATTGTGATCCGAAGATAATTCATCGCGATGTGAAAGCTGCAAACATACTATTAGATGAAGAGTTTGAGGCTGTTGTGGGAGACTTTGGTTTGGCGAAACTTATGGATTATAAGGACACTCATGTAACGACAGCTGTACGTGGCACGATCGGGCATATAGCTCCAGAGTACCTATCCACCGGGAAGTCTTCAGAAAAAACCGATGTTTTTGGATACGGGATCATGCTTCTAGAGCTTATCACCGGACAAAGAGCCTTTGATCTTGCTCGCCTTGCAAATGACGATGATGTTATGTTGCTTGACTGGGTATGCAAATTCGCTACTGTCTTTCCCGCTTCCATTATGCTTTCGTTTTATGATACCATAAGGACAATATTCTCATTTTTATCTCTTTGCTCCAGGTGAAAGGACTACTTAAAGAGAAGAAACTGGAAATGCTGGTCGATCCCGATCTCCAGACCAATTACGTCGAGGCTGAGGTGGAGCAGCTAATCCAGGTTGCGTTGCTTTGTACGCAAAGCAATCCAATGGAACGCCCCAAGATGTCGGAAGTAGTGAGGATGTTGGAAGGTGACGGGTTGGCCGAGAGATGGGACGAGTGGCAGAAGGTAGAAGTTCTTCGCCAGGAGGTCGAACTAGCGCCTCACCCCGGCTCGGATTGGATTGTAGACTCGACAGAAAACTTACATGCAGTTGAATTATCTGGTCCTAGGTGACCTCCGATTAACTGAAAAAACCAAAAAAAAAAAAGGGATTTGTTAGGACTTGTGATTTTTTGTTGTTTTGTTTTTGTGATAAGCTTCTTCTTCCCTGTCATTTATGATGAGAATAGGCAATTAGAAGTCCTCTTGTAAGCCCTCTCCGAAGTATATTCCTTGGTTTTTTTTTATGTGCATATGAATTTGTTGTACTTATAAACATTTTAAAAATCCACGTCACGGAAATTGCACATATATTGATTATTGGGAAAATGACATATTTAGTCTCTGAGTTATATTCTAGGTATAGATTCTGTCTCTCAAGTCTAGTCTATTGTTGTTGAAGTGACAATTTTGGTCATTTTCGTTGTTGAAGTGACCGTTTTGGTCATTATCATGCTTGGTCCTTGATTATATGCTTCTAAACCATTCAACATAACTTTTCCCCACTGGACAGGTCCTTTCATGTAACCAACAATCCCTTTCTTTCCAGCTACTTGGTACTATTTTATTTCAGACAACAACGTTGAGAAACAAACCCAACATCAGGATAATAATGAGTGTTTAGGATAGCCAAGAAAGCATGTGTGGAGTAGGTAGAAACATGGTTTTTATCGATCATTCAGTTCTTGGATAGGATGTACCAAACTAATGAAATTGATGGATGCCCTTTTGTGTTTATTCTAGTACAAATGAATGAATTCATGGCAGACAAAAAAATCCGAAAACGTCCACATCACTACTCACCTGAGCCCTGTGATGTAAACTAGTTGGGGTATGAGAAGTGTGATTCGTCGTCAATGGAAGGTACTCTCTGAAGCTCGTGATACTTGTGATCCTGACCGAGAATATGATCCTGTCGATGCATCATCATAAGAAGGATGCAGAGTTACAGAATGGGTTTTCTAGATGGTCAGCCTTCTGTGTATCCGCGTGGAATGGGTTCTCATCAGGGCTTACTGGAACCTCGTCGTTCTGTTTCTTTGTAAGTTCGCTAATTCGGAGTTGCGCCAGGCTAGCTGCAGAGCGAGCAGCTGCAGCTGCAGATTCGGCACTCTCAGCAGCCGCCTGAGCAGCAGCAAAAACATCCTGCAAATCTACAATGGTTTCCATTTGGGCTTCTGAAATGGATTTCGGTGGATTACTTTGCTCCAAAGAAGATTTCGGTGGGGGAAACATGAATGGCAAGAACTTTTCGCCTTCCTTCTGACACTCGGTAACAGATTTTCCCAGCAAAACTTCCCCATACTCCATTTTTGGTTTATTTGATGCTATTTCATTACCTCCAGGATTTTTTCCCACTTCTCGGACTTCTGGAGGATCTAAAAACTCGAACTCATCATCAGGTTCGGACTGTTTACCAGGGACTTCTTTCGAAACAGAAGAAGACGCAGAGTACATTATTGACTCGTCACATTTTGTCTCGGGAAGTGGAAGCTTGTACCCACTGACAAATTGCGTTGGTCCGTTCTACAAGAAACAGAACCACAATCAAGGTTACAAACGTTAAACATAAAGCCGAAATGGGATGGTCAAAGATAAAGCATACAAGTAGATCTTCACGAGGTTTCGACAATTCAGTTTCAGAAGCACTTGGATCCCACTCTAGTTCATGTTCCAAAGCAATTTCCTTTAGCAGCTTGAGTTTCACATCGGGGCCAGGAGCTCGAGCAGATAATAGCGCTATTAACTGCAAATACGCAGTAATAAAAACACCTTTAAAAAGCATGATAACGAGTAATCAGAATGTGTATAACCTGGCGATTGACACCACAGTCGGGCATCAGTTCAGCAGCAGCAGCCACAAATTTTTTCCCGTATTTTCCAGCAAACAACATTCGAACTTGCATCAACTCTGTAACATCTGCACATCTCGGTGCAGCAAAACATATACTGGAAATCGCTTCTTTCAAATCCAGAGGGCATTCCCTGGAACAATTGATTCAGTTCTATAAGACATACAAATTAAGTATTCGCTGAAAGGCAATTAGTACAAGAAGACATGAAAATGGTGTTGAGGAACACAATAGAAACTCGTTTTCTCCATGAAAGTAAAGTCCAGAAAACCAAATCTTTACCTCTGAGCCTCAATGATTGGAATACGAGTGGATATAAGTTCACAAAATAATTCAATTATCTCCTGGGCAGCCATCATTTTCTCTTCTCTTATAATATGCTCTACCTGAAATAAAACAAAAAAAAACACCTCAATGAACTGTTTGACTTATGATCATTTCACTCTCGAAATGGAAATATATAACCACAAAAAGAATCATGTTTTTTACCCGAATCCGAGCCGTAGCTTCTTGACCAGTTTCAAGGAGTTTTGCTATTTCTCTGCGTATCTGCTTCATCTGAATCTCTCTCCGGTTCCTTAGAAGCTTAATTCGAGGAATCGCCAGTTTCAATAAGGTTTTACTGTAAATCAAAATGCATAACTGCCATCACTCACAACTCGAAGTGAAAAATCACATTCTAATACACACATTCAAAACCCTGTTCAGTAATTTCAATCAGTTCTTACAAAAAATCGAAATGCAAATCAAAACCTGTTCCGCATATAATATTCAAATTAAAATTCACATAAAAATTGTGAATTATGGAAAAACAAAAAACAAAAAAAGCTGAAATTTTGCGGGAAAAAAATAAGAAACGGTTACCATTGGGCTGCTTTAAACCCTTTGTTGAAGAAGGAATCCATCATTGACATCTAGACTCTCTATCTCAGGCGCCAACTCGCAGCAGAATCTGAATATCTGATCAATAAAATTATATATGTATATATCAGAAATACGAAAGTTCACTGTTCACTGCAAATGGCGCGTAGAATATTCCAACCGACGAGGATGACGATACGAGATTAAGCGGTCAGTGATCTGGTTTCCTTATGGTTTAAGGATTGTATCATTGTAGTAGTTAATTATGATAAAATTAAGATAATTATTTCATCTCAGAATTTGTAGGAGATCGTTACTAATTTCACATACACATAATTATCTGATTTCTCTTTATTTCATTTCTATTTTTTTCAAGGGAATCATATTTGTGATAGCCATTCATCCATTCTTGTAACATAATTCCCTTCCCAAAAGTTAAATCTTCAATTCTGATTGAACATGTAGGAGGATGTAAATTATGGTAAGAAAATAAATTGTAATTTAATAAAAAATAATTTAAATAAAATATAATTTCAAATTACATTGTTGATAAAGAAAAATAAAATTATTAAAAAAAAAATAAAGAAGTGACATAAATATTAAAATGTCGTACCAATAATATTGTTCCATAATAATAACAATCAGGGGTAATTTAATTATTTTCTACTTTTTTTCCTTTCCCTGCCACTGAATTGTAATTCTCAAAAGATTGAATCCATGTTTGCTCAGACATTTATACGTCGCTGCAATGGCGGCTGCCGGGACTTCAGGGCTACCTACTCTACAACTACAAATGCAGCCGGAACTTCTCCCGCCGCTACCAAATTCTTGCCGGAGTATCTCACGAACTCACTGGGATTCTCGCGACAAGAATCCGCGTCTTTAGCCGCCAAGGTAACCCGCTTTGCATCCACAACAAAACCCAAATTGGTTGTAGATTTCTTGAAAAAAATGGGCCTTGATTCGACCCAGATAAGGAAATGTGTTTCCAGATTCCCCAAATTGCTGTACATCGACGTTGACAAAACCCTAAACCCCAAACTCCAGTGTCTCCAACAACAACTCGGGCTGTCCGGGTCGGACCTGTCGGATATGATTGAAAAAGGTCCAAAATTTCTTGAAAGGGGATTAGATTCCAACCTCAAACCCATCCTAGATTTTCTCAAACAAGTATTTGGGAACAATGAGGATGTTCGTACAATCATAAAGATTTATCCTTGGTTACTAAGCATCACTTGTCAGGCTATGCAGGAAAACTTTTCCTATTTTCAGAAGCTAGGGTTTTCAAATGAGAAGATCAAATGGTTTATAGCTAGGAGACCAAATGCATTGCAGTTTCCTCCTCAATGGTTTGAGGAAAGGGTGAATATGCTGGAGAAAGACTTCAGCATTCCCCGCGATTCCCGTATGTTCTTCTATGGAATGTATGCAATAACCTCTGTAAGCAAGTCATCAATGGACAAGAAAATGGCAGTGTTTAGGAGTTTTGGGTGGTCTGACTCAGATATAGTCACTATGTTTCATCATCAACCGTTTTACTTTACACTCTCCGAGGCTAATATCAGAAAGAAATTGGATTATTTCATGAACCAACTAGGGTACAAACCGGATTTTTTGTCCACGCGTTCTCTTTTCACATATAGTTTGGAGAAGAGAGTATTGCCAAGGGTGAATGTGTTGAACACCTTGAAGGAGAAGAAGCTGGTTGTGAAAACTCATTGTCTTTATAGCATTATTTGCCTCACAGAATTGAAGTTCGAAAAGATGTTTCTGCTGCCCTATAAAGATGTGGTACCTGACATGTATGAATCATACCAGGGAAGGTTGGGGAGGTAGTAGTAAATTTCTGGATTTCTGGATTTCTGGGTAACCTTCTTCCCAATGAGGTGATGATCATTGTAGTCTTTAATACCAGGTTGTAATGCGAGACCATAAGAGCATTTATAGGTTTGATTACTATGAGGAATTTGATATGAAATAACCATCATATTTGAAAGCCAATGCTGTTTTGGTCTTTGAATTTGATGAAAAATGTGTGTGTTCTCAGCTTAGGATTGTCAAGACATCATTTCCGGGAATAAACTCAACCAAAATACCTTTATAATCTAGTCACATTAACAATTTTAGGTAAGAATCCACAAATTTAATTCTCGACTCAAAAATAATATTTGTTTTTTTTTTTCTTTATATGATATATTAGTGTTTATAAATTGATCGAATTTATCATAAGTTAAAAAAATTATGGTCCTGTTTGGTAAAAAATTGGCCTATAGGCCAAGTTTGGTTTATTTGACCATTATTAATTGTTTGATTTAGTTAAAATATCAATATAGATGTTTGGTTAATTAGCTTTTTGCAACTCCAAAAGGTTAAAATTCGAAAAGGTACTCCAAGCAACTTTTTCAATTAGCTTTTTGAGAAAAGAAATTATACCAAACAGCTATCAGCAAACAGCTAATTTACCAAACATTTTTCTAAAATCAACTAATGTTATCAGCTATTTATACCATCTAATTAAACACAATCAGCTAACAGTTATCAGCTAACAGCCATTTTACTAAACAGGGCATATATTTTTTGTGATGGTATATAGAAAATAATGGATGTCTAATCCCTTTTATTCATAAGGTATAAGTTGGTAAATTAAAAGAGGGTATTAAAAATATAACAAAACAGGGTTGAACTCAGCGCCTTTGCGGCACACTTCAAAGATGATGTTTGTTCAGACATTTGGGCGTCGCTGCAATGGCGGGCACCGGGAGGTGTTCTTCTCGTTCTTCATCTCCAGATCTCCCTACTCGACAACTGCAGCCGAGACTTCGACGGCTTTCTTGCCGGAGTATCTCGCAGGCACGCTCGGATTCTCCCGAGAAGAATCGATCTCTGCAGCCGCCAAGGTAACCTGCTATACATCCACAACAAAGCCGGCTTTAGTTGTAGATTATCTGAAAAAATTGGGTCTTGATTCGACCCAGATACGGAAATGCATTTCCAAATACCCCAAATTGCTATACTTCGACGTTGACAAAAACCTAGACCCCAAACTCCAGTGTCTTCAGGAGGTCGGGTTCTCCGGCTCGGATCTCGCCGATGTAATTGCGAGAGGCGCGCAATTTCTTGAGAGGGGATTGGATACCAATCTCAAACCAAATATGGCTTTTCTTAAACTAGTATTTGGTAATAATGAGGATGTGCGCAAGGTAATAAAGAATTATCCTGCGATGCTTCGTACTAGCTGTCAGATTATGCAGGATAATGTTTCCTATTTTCAGAAGCTTGGCTTTTCTAATGAGAGGATTAAGTGGTATATATCTAGGAAACCAATGGCTTTGAGGTTTCCTCTTCAATGGTTTGAGGAGAGGGTGCATATGCTGGAAAAGGATTTTGGGATTCCTCGTGAATCGCCTATGTTCTTCTATGGAATGTATGCAATGGCTTCAGCAAGCAAATCGTCAATGGAGAAAAAATTTGCAGTTTTTAGGAGTTTTGGATGGGCTGACTCGGATATAATTACTATGTTTCAGCACCAACCTTTTTACTTCACGCTCTCTGAGGCCAATATACAGAAGAAACTAGATTATTTCATGAACAAAATAGGTTACACACCGGATTTTTTGTCCACTCGTTCTGCTCTTACCTATAGTTTGGAGAAAAGAGTATTGCCAAGGGTTGACGTCTTGAACACTTTGAAGGAGAAGAAGCTGTCCGTGAAAAATCATTGTCTTTATAGCATTATATGCTTCACAGAAGCCAAGTTTGAAAAGCTGTTTCTGCTGCCCTATAAAGATGTGGTGCCTGAGCTATATGGATCATACAAGAGAAGGGTGGTTCGATAGTAAACTTTGGGCGACTTTCTTTCCAATGAGGTGATGATCATTATATTGTATTCTTTAATATTCAGTTTGTCATGTCAGATCATAAGCGCATTTCTATTTTTGGTTCCTGTCTTGGATTAATATTATTCTGAAGAATTTGATACAAAAAACCATCAAATTTGAAAGTCACAGGCTCACAGTTTTTTGTTCTTTGACTAAGTTTCCACTTCATGACTATCAATGGTGAAAGAGAAAAAACTAGGCTTATCAATGGGGAAAGAGAGAGAAAAAGGATACAATATTAGTTGGTTGGCACATCAATTTTTCATACTCAATGTCATGATAGCATATTTGGTTGCTAACCCCTGTAAATGCATCTCATTTTCTTCACATATAGTCATTCTATGTTTACATGAAATTTGAGATATATCCAGCTTTCGTTTTCTGCATTTGGAGTCTTTAATCAATTGACATTCCATTTTTGCTTATAATTTCTTGGGGCAGGGCAGCTGCACTGTTTTAAAAGTAATGCAATTGCCTCCTCTGCATCGTAATTGAGAGTGTAACTGGAGTGGACAAAAAATCCGGTTAGTAATCGTATGGCCTCTTTCTTTTTAAAATAATATACTTTAAGGACATGAGTTTTGAGGTTATGGAGCAGTTCTCACTGTGTAATTCATTGCTCAAACATTTCTCACCTTTAAAGAAATTATTTAATGACTCAAATTGAAACTTGTCTGTTGAATTTCTAAGGTTGGTATGTTTTTCTCTAAAATACCTCAATTCCACTTCAGTCATTTCTCCTATTTTATTAAAGCTGGATTTCATTTTTTATGTTCTGATTTTTTGCAAAGCATAAGATATATGTAGGCTGCATTTACACTCTTGTGTAAAATGGCCAAAAGATTTCAATTTGTATATATAGAGACATTTCAGCAGGTAATAAGTGAATTTGTCTTGGTTGTCCTCTTGTATCGTTGCAGTGTTTGGAGAAAAGAGTAGCCAAGGCGTAGAGTGTAGAGCTATCTGAAGGAAAAAGATAATTGCCTTTGCAACTTGTCGGTGCTTACAAAATCAAAGTTTGAAGACATGTTTTTGCTTTGGTCAAGGATATCTTGCGTTATATCTTCCCCGTGAATCACACAAGAAGAGAGTGAGAAGTGTAGTACCTCTCATGGAACTTTGTTTTGCTTGGGGTGGGTGGGATAAAGTCTTTGTTCTTCCTTCTGAAGATATTTGAATCATCATTTATATTTTTTGTTTGCCGAAAGTGAACTAACTTATTGTAAGAAAATTGAGGTGGGAGGTGAGAGGCACCATGATTTCAAAGTCATTGCTTTCTTAATGTGCAATAAGAAATCTTTAGTAGTTACAAGCTAGCTTCAATGTTGATCCTGATTTACTTTTCTGCAGGTTTTTTGTTCTTTGGTTCAACTTATTAAGTTTTCAAGGCATTTTAATTCAAATGAATCAAACTCAAATTCGTTGTGACATGCCCTTCAAAGTATTTTAATTTGTTGTTGAATTCTAAGGTAGTGATGCCCTTAGGTTTGTCTCAGTGGTTGGTTAGTAGGGTGTGGTGGGCAGCCCGACGTCTCAAGTTCGAATGGATCTGGATCAAACTCATATTTACCTCGGGGCAGTCAAGTCTCTCAATGATGAAACTTCAAGCTTCAACCTTCCCTAAATTACAGTATAATATGATGACAAGCTAATAAATTTTACCACCAAAAGAGAAGATTAGAACTGAAAATCGGAATGACCATATCTTTCCCTACTCAATCCCTTACAAATAATTGGAGTTGAAGGGAGAATGTGAAATATAGATGCCTATGCATCAACATTCAATTACAAGGAACATTTCAGGAGTTTTCCCATAAGAACTGGAACAAGTGAACGATGAAAGAACCGAATTCATGGACTTTCATCTTTGCACATTTCAAGAGTTTTCCAATGTACAATGCAACTTTCATCTTCCATGTACAATAAACAGACAAGTATACCCCCAAGCAACGTTTAAAGTATAGCGGCTATAACAGGGTGGTGTATATTCTACAAGCTTTTATCATCCTCCTCTTCAAGCTCAAGTCCCTCTGCTGCCAGCAGCTGGTTAATCAACCTTTTCTTCTCCTCTTCTGCTTTTCTTCGCATTATATCCCTTTTCCGTAACACAAGTGTATGCCGCCTCAAAGTAGTGTTAACATTTTCCAATGATGCCTTCCTCTCTTTCTCCAGTATTTTCCTCTCCTCTTCAGGATCCATCTGAAAGTTCACTTTTTATATACTTTTTTTTATTTGTGACATTCACACAAGTTGCTTGAGATTCAAAAATATTAATCACAAGTAGTGATGAAAGTACTAGTGCTGGAGTAAGCTTAGAAAGTTTCGGTGCAAAGAATGCATAGAGTTTATAATATACTATATGATGCCAAGGTAATCTTATACCTTTGATCGTGCAAGGCGGCGTGCTTTAAGATTCAATTCACGCTGCTGCTGTTCAGCCCATGCTGCAATAGCCATATCACCCCGTTGGTCAAATGCTTTCCGCTTTTTAATAAGCCATTCCATCCATGCTTGGGATGCCTGAAAATATAATACGTAGATGAAAACAGCAAGAAACATCCTTCAGTACTTCATTTCCCTTAAATTATTATCAGGTTATACGCCTCCAGCCATCTCAGGGCGACATATCTATGATTAGAAAAAGGGGGAAATGATTGGATATTGTTTCTGTTATCTCAAGTGGCATATTATTTTCAGAGGTCAAGAGTTCAATCCACTTACCCATGGACGTGTACTAATATCACCTAAACTAGAATTTTTTAAAATTGACTCCTTAACATATCATAACTTAATATGCATTCCAAATTTCTAACTCAAGTACAGATGTTCAACAAGAAACAAATTCTAGATGATTTTTGCAGTATTTGTTGTACCCTAATCCAGATTGATAAAAACAAAAAAAAATTATCAACCTTAACAAGTTTATAAACTCACCTTCATAGGGTTCACCCGATTTTCTTTGTCATATTGCCTTCGTTGTTCTTTATCTAGCAGCAACTCATAAGCAGCTTGAATCTTAATAAATCGTGTTTCAGCAGTTTCCCCCTCTTCAAGAGTCCCACTGCCATCATAAACTTGAAAGAATATAATAACTAAATAAGTTTCAGCTATAAGATTTATAATCATACAAAACTTTTTTTTTTTAATTAAAAAAAAGGGAAAAGGTTAAGCAGAAACCATCTGGATGGTAGAACTTCACCAAACGTCTGTATGCCACCTTTATTTGCTCTTCATCTGCATCTCCTTCCAACTCTGCATTGAAAAATTGTGAAATGCATAAAAATTGGTAGTGATGTCATTCAAAGAATCATAGTCTTAAGAAAGGTCGCTACAAATTTTACAACTATCTGCACGACATGTTCCCAAGTGCCTTGTTTTCTGCTACTTCGATTGGTGATTTTTTTTTTTTTTTTTTTTTTTTCTGTTTTACTAAAATCTTTTCTAAGTAATAAATTCCTAACAAATTAAACACAAAAAAAAAAAATAAATAAAATTGTTAGAGAACAAGAGAATTGCAATACCGAGGGTTTCGTAAGGGGATTTGGAGTTGTTCCAATTGTATGAATTAGTAGCTATGCTCTTCCTCTGCCGCCTATTCACTCCATCCCAGGGCTCAATTCTCCTGGACGAATCGAACCACGTCGAGAACGCCGGCGGCTTTGTGCTCCATCGAGGTCCGGGGCTAGGGATCCGAACCGGAACGCGAACCGTCGATTTGACCAACAGTCCTCTGCAGCAACAGGTGATTGAAGAGAAAACTGCATGAGGTCTACAAATTGCCCTCAGATTGCTCATATTTCTTCCCTAATCTCTTCTCTGCGGTTGAATACTTGAATTTCAGCTCAATTTTTTTTCTGAAAATCTTTAATCTTTTCTACCTGTATTCTTGGAATCGGTGAGGATAATACGGTAGTGATTAGTGAAGGTAGTCGGTTCGATCGAACGACGAAGAGACAGAAATCAATATTTTTCCCTATTCTAATAATTTTTCCTTTATTTTTATTTTTATTTTTCTGTTTTTTCCTCCCAATTTTGTGGACGGTTTATTCCGTTGATTTTTGGAGGGAAATATGCGAATGACAATCATACCCCTCCCTTCTCTCCGTAAGTCGGAAACTATTCCTTGAGTCGATTCTCCTCTGATCTTTTGCCCATTGTTCGTGAAAAGGACAAGTTCGTCAAAGTAACTATCATTTTGTTCTTACTTACATTGAAAATATAACGTAAATAAATATTACTCCGTACATATATAGTTATTTCTTAGTTTTTTAGACCAAACAAAATTTGTTGTACGACGAGAAAAACAACAACTCTATTCAATAGTATATATGTGATAACTCTGTTCATGTGTAATATCCTGCAAATTATAATAAAGAGGTAAATTGAACTAGGAATTAAGAAGTAGGACAGAAGATGATCATTAAACACGATTATATTTGATCTCTGCAAATGATACTAAAGATAATTATTGTAGGCCTAAGGAGACTACTTATACAAGATCTGTGATCTTGATACTTCCTCTTGACTATATTCACATGATAAATTCAAATCCATCATGCATATATATATGGTTAAAATTACATTCTCTCTCACAACATATATATATATATATATATATATATATATATATATACATCCCATACATTACCAGCGCAGCAGAAGAAAGCAGCATACATAAACTACAGACGTATGGCAGCTTGAGTAGAGTTCAACAGCAGTCAAGCGTAGTTTCGCGAGGGCGAGCTGCCCAGAGTGAACTTAGACTGCGGAGGCGCTGAAAATACTCCCCAAATGCAAGCAGGCCCCGAGCTGCCTGGTGGGTCGTTAGAATGCGAGACATCTGCAGCAGTGTCTGCTGCCGAAGGTGATCCGCCTGCACGTTTTTAGACAAATTAAAGCAACAACAATTATATTGCAGGTCATGGTTTTGATGAGATATGGTTAGTTTTAACTCTTATGTTTTTTTTGGTGGACGGAAGTCAGTTAAGGGTCAAGTTTAGCACCAAGTAGCTAGATGATTGTTAGACGGAGGCCTGGAGGGCCATGTCCAGCACTCGCCTTTTGAAAATGTTGTGTTTTTACTAACTTTTGGGGTAGCTGTAACTGGTAAGGACTTGATTCTAATTAATAAGTGGTATTAGAGCCAGGTCATGGGGCTGTGTTAGGGGAATTGTTGCGCAGAGGCTGGTGAAGGGTCAAGTTTAGTACTAGGTGACTAGGAAATTGTTGGAGGGCCATGTCTAGCACCTGCCTCTCGAAAATGTTGTGCCTGACTACTAGCTATAACATTTGGCATAGTAGTAAGGTTTGATTCTAACAAGTGGCATCAAAGCTGTGCAGTTAAGATTGGGTGCTGGGGAGTTGTTGGGTGGAGGCCGGTGAAGAGCGAAGTCCAGCACCAGTAGGCTTGCTACTAGCTATAGTTTTTGGCGTAGTGGTAAGCGCTTGATTCTAATATTATTTATTTATTTATTGAAATGGATACCTGGTTGACAAAACTTTCCAGTGCTTCTAACTTCTCGATGGCAGATGCCATCTGAGTGCTGTAAGTTCCTGCTCCAGTGGTTATAAGTGTCATGTTTTGGGAGAGAGTCTGCTGGAGTTTATCCATTCCTTGGGTGAGAGCATCCTCGGCCTGTTGGCAGCAATGTCGCAGGTTATTAACATTCAAGCGTTGTTGTTCAGACAATTGCCCGAGTTGTGGCAGTACCACCTGCAAAAAAATCAAGAATTTCCTATGAATTGATTCAGATATCTGGTTTGAGAAGAAACCTTGTGATCTGTACATACTTTTATCATTTCTGATGGCCGGAATCCTCCAATCCAGAGATAAAAGCGCTCGACTGGAGTTCTCCATGCTCCGGATATCAAGTAGAAGACATCAGCTTTTGCCACTTCAACTTTCATCCGGAAGAGATCACAGTAGTGGCTTAAGACACTCTGCACTAGCACCTCCAGTTCCATATCATTCGTCGGGGCCTGCAGAATGTTTCTGAGCTCCGAGGTTTTCTTCTGATGCTCTTCGATCCAGTTAGTATAATCCAGCTCGAATGCAGCAATTCCTTCATATAAATGACTAGAAAGCATTAGTTTTGAGGATAAGCAAAAACAGTATATATATGACTGATAGCGTGATCTCTATTATTACCTGGATTTAATGTCGCGCATAGCCCTATGCTACTACTCGCACCAAACATACATATTCCCTGCAATTAGTTATATTTCAGATGATAGTTCTTTGGTGAATGAGCAATATGCAGTCTTTTAGGAAACAGAAATATGCAGCTATGCAAACCTGACCTGTTGCCTGGCTTTCTCGAGCTCCAATTCAAGCTGTGCTAACTTCAAACGGCTCGTTTCCAGTTGCTGAACATAAGCCTGTACGGAGAAAGTGTTAATAAGTGAATCAATGGTGAAGTTCTTGAATATCTGCAGAAGTGTCTGGTTACCTTTTTCCTCAAACGACTTTTTCTAGCAGCTTCACGGTTCTGCGCTAAACGCCTTTGTGCCTGCAGTTTACATTGAAATATACTCAGGTTTCCATTTTTTCCATTTATTGGTCAAATACAAGATTTAAACCATCCAATTTGGCAGTTTGGTTTTTGCAGATTATGTTATCACCTTATCTGTAAGGCCCTTTCCTGCCTGATTATCCCCTGAGGGAGAAGGTATTGCAGATTCGTTATACTTGTAATCGAACTACATTTGAAGTGAAAAAGGACGAATCAGACAGCTGTGAATCGCAATAACTCAAATTTTAGCAGCTTCAAGGTGAGAAAAAAATACCTTATTATCATCTGTCCTTTCATTTGCCTGTGTGACCATACATCCACCTGTGCTGGGGATCATATCACCTCTCAGTGTCTCCTCCCACATTCTCATCGGGTGGAAAGGCTCATACAAACCCATCCTCGTGGGGGCAAATTGGCTCGTTGAAGGAATGTTCATGGCCTGATAGGACACCATCTGCACAGTTTAAAAGCGACGATAAGAAACTGGGGAAGCTGGAGAAACGTTTCGAGTAACAAGCAAGAAAGTATACACATCCTGGAACTATGATTGGAACGATCTTCGAAAATACATAGAGGAAACAGCAGGAGTAAGATATCAGACTATCACTATCAGTGTCAAATGTTAGCTAGCAGAGAAACCTCAGTTTGAGACCATTGATATACAAGTTTGTTTGCCACTAGAATCATCGTCTAAGCCCGAGATTCTCCCTCATCATTCCAAGACCTTTCCCCCTCTATTCAATATACGTGACATCTTTTAAAGGAAAAGTAATTCATATAATGGAGAAACAGAAGAAATCTAGCGACGTGAATTCACTGACAAGATGTGCAGGTTGCTTTTAACATGTGATGCAAGACAGGTGTGTCGAGATGTCGTGTAGACTATATTCCGGTGAGAAGATCAACAAGCCAATGTAAGCATATACAGATTAACTAGGGAGCTAGGGATATTCTCCATTTTAAGAGGATACCAGAGGTGAAGAAATGGTTCTAATGCAAATATCGCTCAAAGGATGATATTGTATTTGACAAGTTCTATTCTGTTTCTGGGGAAACACTACACATCTCTGAAGCCAATCATCAAACACAAAGTGGTCAATCTGGGAATTTTTCAAGATGATCAACCCATGTATATAATGCATTCAAATACACACTGGCAAACAAGTCCAATCATATATACTCAAAGGTACCCAACAGAAAGAATCATAAGACACGAAAACATACATTCATGAGCTGAAAACAGATGAAGAAAACAACCTTTTCAGTAGCTAGTTCAAGGGTTGAATTGAAATGAGGTGTTTATGTGAGTATTGTAGCTTCTGCAAATCAGGATTGGCCCTTTGATTCCAGATTTCAAGTTGCAAAACTGATAATTATGTTTGCAGAAACATTCATGGAATCATGGTAATGAAAGATACAAGGAAAGAGTGATAGCACTGCAATATGGGCAAATTTAACCTAGTTGGCTCTAGGAGGAAACAAAAATGTGTTAGCAAAAAATGACAAATAAACATCCATTTATTTCAAGAAAGATAAAGAACTAAAGAATTGAAGTTGACTGACTTGCTTTTTGAATGCTTCTTCTACTGTTAAGCTTTTTATCAATTACCATTATATTACATATAAAAATATGTAGTGGTATTATCTATTCACTTTGTACTGCTGCTAGTTCATTATAATTGTATGCACCACCCTTGGACAAACTGCAAAACAACTCTTTCATAACTACCTAACCTTAAATTTGTACCATACTATCACCACTACCTAGCTAACAACTTTGTCACTAGGCTATAATCCTTTTTTTTTTTTTAATGCATTAGGTATCCCAGCTTACGCTAATTAATCATAACTCTCCACAGTCTCTGCCCAAAAACCGCTGGAGGAGGTAAATCGCGAGTCGCCTTATCAGTAGATGATTAACCCTTATCATTGAAACCAACGTCAACTCAACTAAGAACGTCCTGTTAAATTTCCTTTATTTTAAGAACCCGAAGCAAAACTAATTGAGTTCTACTACATATACTCGCAAATCTTACTCCCTCAATTTTACTTCCTTCGGACTCTGATAAGCTATTTTTTTACATGTGGATCTCAATACAAGTGTATCTACATCAAGATTTTGTGTGTAGGAGTAAAAGTTGGGAATACGTATTTTCCAAATTAATTACTTAGGCTAAAGATAATTATGGGATTGGCAAGTCACAATCATATGTAGATTAAAAGTACAACCATTAATTACTGCCACTTGAAAGCTAAAACAATCAACTGAAAGTACTTGGCATGGTGGAGGGTACTACACATAAAAGGCAATTCCAAAAGATAAATATGGAAATGACAGAAATTGACCATTATGGTCTCTGATTTTCCATTTATTTTACATCAAATCCCAAAAAAGAAAAAGAAAAAAAAAAAGATTGAATTTATTGGGTAATCAGACATAAGCATGGGCCTCATTCCAGCAAAATTAAAGCATCCAACCATTGGATTACACGTTTCTTAATTCTTTGGTGTAAAGAGGCTCAGCTCCAGGTGATAAAGTTGCACTACTGCTAGTGCTACTTGTGCTTAAAAACTATCATAATCTCTTTATTTCACTGTACTTAGATCAAAAGTACAAAAAAACATCTCATCATATACAAATTTAAGTAGTTATATTTCTTTTAATTTAATAGTCAATTCTAAATAACTTTAAACTAACATATATACCTGTAATCAATCAAGAACCCACCCAAAAAAAAATCTTTACTAACAAGAAGAAAGAAAGCTTAGTAGTTAAGATACGTAGCTTAAACGCTAAGATACAAGACATGAAAGTGAGAACTCACAGAACAACTTTCTTAATTAGCTTAGGTTTAAGAAAAATTTGGTCTCGATCTCGGTCCCCTTGTTAGTTAATGTTATATGTAATATTGGTGGGAAGCTAATTCTAAATTAAACCAGAAAAGGAGCAACAAGATTCCAAACAGGTTTTTCTTCTTCTTTTAGTGATCATCATTCACCAATTGTATTGATGATGATTAAATGAAAGTGGAAAACACTGTTGCATGCATTGATGCAGTGGTAATTGGCCAACAGAATTTGATTCTTTCTGTCATACTCGATTGGTGAAGAAATTAATAAGCTGTGCAAGCGATTCTGCTGATGTCTACTCTACACACACACACACATATATATAGCCATATAGGTCCATAATTAGGTGTAAATTGACCTTTAACGTGCAAACATGCGAACTTCTGAAGGATTGCATTGCATTTACTACATAATTGCACCGCACCCGGATACGATTGCACCCCAAGGTCCTCCAGCATGTCTGCGAACCGTAACGATGCAATTATGTAGTAGTTGCGGTGCAATCCTTCATAAGTTCGCAGGTTAAGATTGTTTTCACCTTATTTGATATATATATGAAAATGATGAACTTGGAGGCCCCTAGCCAAGTTGATTGGTCGTTGGCTTAGTAACTAGAAGGCTTTTAAGTTCAATTCCCAAGTCCGAGAGGCTCTTATTGATCGATCTTCTTGGTTAGAGTCAATCAACACGGGTATTGGCAATGCAGTGCATTTAGGATTTAGCTGTAAAAATTGCACTATATAATGTTAAAAATTGCATTCTCGAAGACTCGAAGTTATAGAAATCACCGTATTTGTTTTCTCAAATCCGTTAAATTTTTCTGAATGAATAATTGAGATTGATTTTTAATTTTCTTTTTGAGAATATATATATATATATATATATATATATATATATATATATATATTGTAGATGAGAGAGCTCATTGAAAGGTAGATAACTAACGTGCTAGATTATGTCCTCTGCTAGGGGTTCATAGCAAAAGATTGATGGCTCTGATTCTCAAAAGTGAACCCACAATCTTGTTCACAAACAGTTGCACCTGTGACCTGTCAAGTGTAAAACATTGACTAAGGTACCAATAATCTCTCTATCCATAACCAAAAGAGACAGTTCCTTGCCTTGAGATTGGGTCTTTGATTCTTACCAGGACAATATTTTAATGTGGTCGGGTAGTCTTTTACGTACATTTTGATATAGTTTTTAGGTATTTTTTATGAATATTTTCATCTTAAGACATTATTAAGACTTACCTTATTAGCACGTATATATTGAATAAATTTTTTTTTGAAGCTATTAAAGTGAAAGTTAAACCTAAATATGGTATTAATGATAATAGATTTCATTCATGATACAGTCTTTTTCCTTTTCTTTCTTGACCAATAAAAGTGCTTCAATTATATGAGCAACATTGCAACAAAACCCATTACTCATGCATGCATCTTTAATTTCTTTAGGGGAAACATTTTTTTTTCTTTTGTATTTATCTATTTATTTTATTTTTGGTTCGTTTATGTCGTCCCTTTTTTCCATTTTCCCTATCATAACCTACCTCATCTTTTTATAAGCCAATTATCCAAACTTAAATACAATCATTCATTTATTGTATATCATAACCTTATCTTTTTATAAGCCAATATAATTATCCAAACTTAAATACAATTATATCGAATTTGAATTGTAAAACTTAAATCAAGTCCCGTAAAATAAATTGGAGAAACAAAATGAGATGGATGGAGTATTAATTAGTTTCATGAAAAGATATAACACTAATAAATAACATTTTAAAAGTAATACAATAAATTATAGTACTAAATAGTTAAATATCATATCGTTTAATTGAAATAATAATAAAATATATTATATCCAAAATCTAAAATATAATGTTCTTAAATTTCAACAATATAATCATCTTATTAGCATCTCTATAACAAAACACAAACTTCAACTCGAGTTTATCGAAAGATAGGTCGGCAAATACAACATTCCACTTTTATTTTTTTATTTGTCATCATAATATTCTTTTGTATTCCTTAGCTTGATGGAATATGAAGAGAAGCAATGTTGGAAAATCATAGTTGGCATTGCATTATATCTATAGCAAAATAGGGTTTAAAGATATTTTTAAGATTTTAAAATTTGACCCAAAACATTTTTAGTGGTCCGAAATGGATTTTTGGAACCGCATTTCTAAACTTTTTCATAATTAGGAAACGACTCAAATATAATCTTTCTACAAACTTTTTGATTTACTAGGAAACAACACGGAAATGTTTTGCAAATGCGTTTCTTTAAATATTTTTGGAGACGAAACATTTCTGAAACAGAAAACACTACATTTTAGAGCTTCCGTGCATCATTATTTTATAAGAAATTGTACATGGATCGTTTCGTGTAACTGACATAACTTGACATTGAGTCCCTCCTACTATTAGGTAAAGATGTCCTTGCCTTAGCTTATTTATGGACGTCCCAACAGAAAGCCAAGCTAGCTAGATGTACAAACTGCATAGTATATTAATATAAAGAATTTTTACGGTATCAATTGATATTGATGATAACTTTTTGTACTACATATAGTATATCATATATATTATTTAAGTTATACTATCAACACTTGTCCTTATAATATTTACTGTAATAAGGTAAATATCAGTATTACTATGTCGATCTACAAAGTGGACAGATCGTCCCTTGTGCGTACTGACATTTGGCCCTATCTGCTCAGCCGTTGAATCACCATTATTTACATCATCACAAATACTATGTCGGGCCGGGATATGGGGTCCTTAATTATATTAGGGTTAGGGATTCTTTTGGGAGAAGTATTACTATGCCTATCAGCCTATGTAAATTATATCGCTCTAAAATGTATCAATATTGATAGGCACATTAATTAGAAATCCTCTATTAATATAATATTAATTAAAGTGAAATTATTCACATACCAACAATAATTCAGACCAAATTAAATCATCAGTGGCGTCATGCAACGCTAAGGATGATTATTTTGTATTTAAATAATTAATTTTATCTTGTGATACAACTACTTTTGAATTTATAGTGCATGCATGCATGGCCGTAGGGACATTTTCAATTATGTACAAGAAGATGGAAAGACATATAGAGGGAAACCACTTTTATTTAAAGGCCACAATGATTGACGGTTGATATTGGAAGATCTGATTGAGTGCAAACATATAATATTTACCAAAGTTTTTGTATATATATATATATATATATATATATATATATATATATATATATATATATATATATAAGTATTATTGACTCTATTATAAGGTATGATATATTCTATACTTTCTCAATCTCTTGCAACACAAAGAGTCAATACCCCACCGGAGTTCGATCATGTGACACTCCATCAATGAGAGTCACATAGGTGTTATATGAGCACAAGTGCTTGGCATACTATATCTTTTAGTTTCTCTTAATTAAAAAAATAGTGTGACGACAAATCCCATATATAATACAATTCAATTTATCAACCAACCAAAAATAAATTCATAAACTTTGTTTTCCTAACAACTGCAAAGTAGTACATGACTTGGTATAGGGTTCGAATCCTACCAAGAATCATAGTGTACAAACATTTGGGGGTTTGTTGGCTACTTGAGGCACATTTCGCAATTTAGAATTCAAACTTAGAGCAATCTCATTTGTGTTGGTTTTTTTTTTTTTTTTTTTTTT